ACTATAACCCCAAATGCTGATTAATAAGCATTGTAGGAATTATCCTGTAACAATATTCATGTTATTGGGGTGTAATCTACAGTATGTTAACATGTGCAGCTATTTTTGCAACTTTTAAGAGATTTGGGATGAAAATGCAGCAAAGAAACTGATATTATAAAATTTACATCAGAGATGGAATTGAAACATATGCAGTAAATGTTAGTGTGGAATGTTTCTTGAAAATGGTGAAACTCCAATACAGCTACAATATTAATTGGGTAAGTGTTAACATAGGGCTGTGGATGGATTGACTATGTGATTTCAAAGTCTGTATGAAGATTGAATCTGTGTATTATTCCTTTATAACAGTGTTTCCCAACCTTGAAAAATTTAAGATGCATGTCAGACTTGCCACAACTTAAACGTCTAAATAAAAATTACCTTTGGTTCCATTTGTTGAAAAAGGTATAGTTTATTAGAGGTCAAGTGTATTACACTACTTTCTCAACAAATGGAGACAAGAGTCATTTTTATTTAGCAATCACAATAGCATTTAGACATATACTTCACAGTGCTTTATAGCCCCTTCAAAGCGATTTACAGAGTATTGCCCCCAACAATCTGGGTCTTCATTTTACAGACCTTGGAAGGATGGAAGGCTTGAGCCAGTCAGGATCCAACTGCTGAACTGCTGGCAGCTAGCAGTTAACAGAAGTAGCCTGCAGTATTGCATTTTAACCGCTGCACCACCACAGCTCGTTAGTGTTTTAAGTTGTGGTAGATCTGTCAACATATGGACTTCAATTCCCAGAATTCCCCAGCCAGTACACTGAGAAACAGTGTCCTATATAAATGCTATAAGAACGGATGCAAAAAACACCGGATGATCACTTTGCTCCTGAGAATGTATTTGACAGATCTCTGTTTGAAATAATGAAAAATTTAAAAATGAACAAACCTTGAGAAGCACAGGGCAACTTTAAGCTGCGTTGGTTGCTGTAATTTGAAAAAAAATAACCATATAAGTCAATATTTAATGCAATATGAAGGCCTTTGACTTTTCACAACAAGCCGGCAAAAATACCTTTGGACAAAGGGCTTTACACAGGAAATCCCATTGTCTTGGGACCCATACAGAAAAGCACCCATCCCATATTTACTGAAGGTGAGGAAGAGACACTGAGATGATCTCAACAGCTAATGTTTGCATAATACCAGTAGTGACTCATATGATAGTGGCACTTGTTTTTTTCTCATTTTAAAGGCACCCTCCCCCAGACTCTTTTAATTCCTTCCAGCAAGAAATGATGTAATCAGTGCAGTAACCTCAACACTGCATTTACAGTCAGATCCAGAAAGTACCCTAACATCTCATTCTAGATCAGTTGTTAATTCTCTTTGAAATAACCATTTGTATGAAAGCAACCAAGGTATAAAAATGTAATTTGCTCCCCAGTATCTTAAAAAAAGCATATGATTCTACATCAATCAGTTGCAAAAACTAACAATAAGAATCTAAGAGGGTTTTTCAAAGAGCACTTAGAGGCTTCCTCCATTGGTGAGTTGAAGTGGTATCCACCCAATTTTGTGTTGGCAGATAACTGGATTGGCATAAAAATGGTGCTTCTTCCTGCCACTGATCCTTATTCTGCCTCTATTGTATCTATTCCAAATCACTGCCACTCCTTTAGTTCCCCTCCAAGTAGTGGCATCTACAGGGAGGAATTAAAGTCAGGACTTGAATCATTACTCTTTCTGCCAGCCCTTTGAAGTAGTCTAGACAAGAAGCACCAATCACGAGTACTAACACTACCTTTATTGTAAGCTTGCAGTAACAATCTTGCAACTCTGAAAGTCCCTCTTCCCTCCCTTACTTTGACACTCCTGAAAATTAAAGAGGATCCTTTCTGAGATGCTTTCTTTACTCCCAACCCTTTTTCAAACTCAAATCTTGCTTATTAGACCAGTGTCCCCAGTCGTGGGATTCAACTGATGTAACAACTGGTTTGGCGAGTGTGCACGCTAAATGTGTGCTTTGCGCACGCACGCAGAGTATGAAAATCAGCCATTTTCAGTTCTAAAACGTATCTTCTACTGCAGCCCCAGTGAGTAAAACAGCTGAGGTGCAGCAATCCGCTATGCCGCATGAATCAGCTGGGCTGCAAAACATGGAAATATAGGACAGACTAGGGCAGGGGCAGGTGGGCGGGGCCAACCGATCACCCGAACTAAGGGTTCACCCAAACTGGTCTGAACTGAGTATCCCTGAGTATCCCTCAATCTTTTCAGCAACAGGGACTTGTCTTGTGGAGAGAGGCTTTTCCGTGGGACCAGACGGGCTATGATTTTGCATGCTGTCCACAGATGGGGCTTTGCTTGTTTGCATGGTCTGATTTCTGGCATGCCGTGGCCTGGTGCCGGTCCATGGACTGGGGGTTAGACCATTGGCAATGCAAGGGCTCCTTCATCCTCCCTCCCAAGGTCCTTCCCACATACCATTGCATCATCTGCTAACTTGCTGAATTGACACCACTTGCTGAAGGGTGCCACCCTTCACACTGCTGGGATAGGTGAACAACTTAACAAATTTTACCCATCTCGAGACT